AGTCGGCGGCCGGGCCCCCCACCCCCGGTCTCCCCCATCAGGCTGGACCCCGGCCGGTGCTGGGCTCCCCAACCCCAACCCTCTGCCTCTGAGACTCTTAAGGTCAGGCCTCCTAAGGTCAGTCCTTCAGTTCTCCTTGCTACCCCCCATCCCAGTAGAGGTCCTAGCCTTGGCACTAGACTTTTGTCCCCCTCCTCGTATATCGCCCACACCAACCCCCGCGGGAAGATGCTGAGGACAGGCGCGCCTAGGCCTGGTGCCTTCAGTCAAGCTCAGGGATCGAGCGATGGCTCAGACTGGGGGTTGGCCAGAATGGGTCAGGCTGGGGGCAGTCCCCACCCCTGCCCCGAGTCCCGGGGGAGTACGGGGTGGTGGTGAATCAGCAGTAGGAAGGCCTCAGACCCCTGGGGAGGGTGCGGAGACCGGGGGAAGGGGAGCTGGCGTCAGCACCCGGGGAAAGACAAGATCAGCAGAGGAGCAGGCGGAGCCGCGGGCCCCAAAAACAGGATGTCGTGTAGTCGTTCCGCACCCGGCGGCTCCGCGCGCCCAGGCTCTGAGGAGGGCGCAGGGCGGAGCGAAGACATGGGGCTCCCCTCGCCCCCTCTTCTCGCTGGGGCGCGCAACTGCTTGGGACTGAAGGGCCGCACCCAGTCCCGAATCCTGCCTGGGCCCTGGGGCCAGGAGGATGGGCAGACTCATGGGCGCCCTCTGGTGCTTCTGCTCCCCGGCCTCGCGCGTGGAGCTCTGACTTGAGAAAGGGTATCTTTCGTTCAGCACAAACTTTTTGAGCGCCTACCACGTGCACAAATGCGTGCTAGATGCTATGGAGGAAAACAGAGGTGTGTACGAAAGGCTCCTTGTCTCCAAGAGGCCTTCCAGATAAAGAGGAAGAACAACCCGAGAATAAACAGTTTAACCTTTCTGAGCCTCAATTCTGTCTTTGGCAAAATAGAATAACCCTCTCCATCCTGTCGTTTTGAAGATGAGAATGTATGTAAAAGGCCTGCTGTCAATGCCTGGCTCAAAATAAACACTCAGCAAATGCTTCTTTTCTTCTTCTTTTAAAAACTCATACTACTATGCCAGTGAATTCCCTAAACACAACGTGCCTACCCACATCTTTGAGTCTTTGCACATTCTATTCCCTTTGCCTGACTTCTTTCCTTCAGTATTGACTGCCAGGAGAAATCCACTCAGTATGTCCCAATCTGGCCCTAATGAACCACTCCCCACCTGACTGCCTCCAACAACACACGTGCTGGAACACGCACACACACACACACCCCCCTACCTCTGCCATGCAGTTGATAGTCTCTTCCAGTGCTGTCCAATAGAAATACAATGAGCCACAAATTTAACTTAAAATTTTCCAGTGATGACATTTTTTAAAAAGTAAAAAGGAACAGGTAAAGTTCATTTTAATAATATATTTTACTTAGCCCAACATATCCAACATACTATCGTTCAACATACAACTAATATAAAAATTATTGAATAGGATGTTTTACATTCTTTTTTGTCACTGAATCTTTGAAATATAGTGTACTTTTTACATTTAGAGTACATATGAATTTTGGATAGACACATTTCAAGTGCTCAGTGGTACCTGAGCTAGTGGGTATGGTATGGAATGCAGATGTTAAAGCCTCTATCAGATTCAGGCAGGTAAAAGACTGAGTAGATGAATTCATGAATTCATTCTCCATGATACTTCTTTGCAAGATTCCCTGATCCTCCAAGCAGAGTTTGGATCTCTCTCCTCCCTCCCCATAGCACTTGGAAGGAAAGGAAACCAGGAAAGGCAGGAGGAAAATCTGATTCCCCTCCATAATCTAATGGAAACACAAGGCTAATGCTTAGCATTTGATATTGAAGAAAGGATTGTGAGGTTCCATTAAAGACAGAGTTCAGTAGAGGATATACTAAAATGGCTTCTATGAAGCCATTAAAAATTGTGCCCCAGAATCAAGATTTTTGAACTGTGTTCCTAGAGTTCCCTTCCCAGGACCTGAGAGCAGGAAAATAATGGGGCTCTGGCCTCCCTTCCCTTCAACCAGAGTTAGTTTGCTTTGGTCTGATTTAAATACTAGTGTTATCAAGGGTTCTTTTTTGTTGTTCTTTTTTAAGCTTTCTGCAAAAATATGTAAAAATCAATTTTGGAAGGATAGTGGTAAAAGTAGGTACAGTAGACCAAAAGGCTGTATTGGCAGCCTAGGGTCAGACTGCATTTCCTGAACCCTTGGTCTTGGGCATGCCTGGCCCTGGTTAAGCTTGCTTAGTTGAGAGAACCTGATCTGGTCTTGAGGATGTCATAGTCTGATGGGATATGGGACTACTACATTTGAAGCTACTGGAGGAGGAGGAAAGGGACCTGGGCTGGGCTTCAGAAGACCTGAAGTCTAGTCTTGGCTCAGCCAGACTGGCTAAAGAGACTTTACACCAGGCCTCTCCCTTCTCTGGGTCTCAGACTCCTCCACTGGAAAACAAGGGGTTGAACCAGATGATACCTTTGAGTTCTGACCTATGATATACTCTTCAGAATAATAATTAAGTAATTAAGTTCTATGAATGTAGCATATTGCTCATAGTTCTTTAATACCATTAGGTCATCTTGCTTTGTGCTCCAGTTAATTGTATCTGTACCTAATGTCTGTCTACTCCACTAAGTGTAAGCCCTTTAAGGCTGTGTCTGATTCATCTTTGTCCACCCACTGGGCCTGGCACAGGCAGGCAAGAGCACACATTTGCTTTCAATATATGTCTGTGAAATCAAATTGCCTTAATAGAGCACTAATATGTGTAGAACTATCAGAAGCCAGGTGACTTGGAGCCACTTTTATGGCACAGATATAGGAAAGGCTAATAAGGCCAGAGGAGAGGGAGATAGGTTAGGCTGGTGGGGCTATCTGCAAAGGCTTCTTGGAGGAGGCAAATGCTGAGCTGAAGAGGGTCAGAAGAGGGCCTGACCCCAGGTGGGCTATTTCTTCTTCCTATTCTCTCACTTGCTTTCCCTGAATAGGTTAGTTCTTGGTAGGTAGGGTACATTTGTGCTCACAAGCACCTGAGAGACAAGGACACTGGGATATTTAGAAGTGAGACAACATGTGAAAGCACTTGGTGAGGGTAGAACAGAAAGATCACAGACAGGTTCTGGAACCAGACAGTCCAGGATTCACATCCTGGTTGTACTACTTACATTGTGGCCTTTGACAAGTCACATGACCTTTGTTATTCGTTCCTTGAACATATGCTAATTGAAAACCTCTGGGCCAGGTATTGTGTCACACGCCAATGATGTAGTGGTAAAATCATAGACAAGCCCCTATCCTGATGTAACTAGAAGGGAGCTAGTGCTTAAACAGGTAATCATACAAAAGTACAGTATAGGAGCATGTAACAGAGCCATTTAGTTTCTTTTTAAAATCGGAGTAACAATACAGTGCACTTTGTGGGATTATGAAGATTAAATGAGATAAGCAAGCGGAGTGTCTAGCCGATTGCCAAGAGTACAACAAATAAACATTACTTAATTTCTCCATATGCCTAAGTTGTTTTCAAGTTTTCCCTCTGACAGTTTTCTTCTTTCTCAAGGTCAAAATGCTAAAGCTGACTCAGTTCCCCTAAAAGAGCAGAATGGAAATAGAGAACAAGAGAAAGGCCCTGAATTATCTCACCCCTGCCCTGGTTGGTGTTTTCCAAATGGGTCTTTCCAGCCTAGTTGTCACTGAGCTCCAGCTCCTATAGCTCATTAGTGGCCCTTAGGGTCTTCTGCTTAGTCCCAGTCCCAGGCTCTTCAGGCTGACCCTAAATCTGAGTTCTTCTTTGTCTCTGATGGGACTCAGCCTTTTGGGTCTCCTCTTGATTCCCTTGTCTTCTCTCTTTCACCCTTCCTGAGTAGAAGTAGGAGTCTCACCCTTATTACTCCCCTTATTTTGCTACCCACAAAGACAAGTCCAGTGTCTCATTTCATGACACGGGAAGGCCATGGGCAATACAGAGATAGCAGAAAGAATGAAAAGGGGAAGTGACAAATGAAACAAAGTTCTAGAGTCGCATCCTCGGATCCATTGTTTCTGATTCCCCCTGAGGAAATAACTGGATGGGGGGAGGGGGGACCAAGCACATGTCCAATACTTCAGGAGGGTCCCTCCTCCCAGACAGGCAGAACAATAGTTGTCCTGTTTGCCTCTAGGATGCCTTTGTTTCTTTGATGTTCTCCAAACTGGGTGGTACCCAGGTCATCTGGCATAGTCCCCTCTGGGAAATTCCTCCTTCCTCAGCCCCAGTGCATTCCAGGAGCAGCTCAGCTCGCCCAGAGTCACACAGCAGTGCCAAGGTGTGAATCTAGGCAGTCTAATTCCAGAACCCCCACTGGCCCTACATCCGTGTGCACATCCTCTCTGCTTTGGGTAGTTACTGGTCCCTCCTCTGAGTTCCCTCATCTTCCCCTGTAGCAATTCCTCTCAAGACATTATCAACAGGTACTAATTACTCTTCATCTATATATTTCCCCTAAAAACTGAGCTCTTTGAGGATAGGAACTGGATTGTTACAAACAGGAGTTCAGTATTGAGTTGAATGAGTGAGTAAACATTGGCAGTAAGAGTCTAGAACTGATTCTGGAAGGCGAGATGACTCTCTTTGTGAAATTAGCCTGGGAAGAGTTGTTAGAAGCCAAGATTTCTCTCATTCCCTCCACAGCCAGACTCTGGGCAGCTTCTTAGGGATAGCTGTACTTGCCATTTTTGGACACCAGGGAGCACCACTGATAACATAGCCTAAACTCACAGATTCCTAAATTTTTCTGAACAGATTTCAGAGTCTAGTACACTTCTATTGAAGATTCTTTCACTTTCCAAATGAAGGCTATTGGTAATAAGAAACCGTGTGGTGTAGAGGAAGGACAGCTAGACTGCTGTACAGAACACACATCATTCATTCATTCACTTTTACTGAGGACCAGCTCTGTATTGGGTAAAGTCCTAGCCTGGGAGAATACAAATATGAATAAAATGAAATCCTTGATGAGCTCAGAGGCTAATGGGGAACACAATCATAATCCAGTTATGTAAGTATTCTAAGGTATAGCAGAAGACTGGAGAGACAGAGCAAGTCAGAGAAGGTGCCAAAGAAAGGAAGAGGGGTACTTTTGAGCTGGATCTGTTTTTTTTTTGTTGTTGTTGTTGTTTTTGGCTAATTGTAACTTTTCATTCATGCTATTCTGTCATCACTGGTCAAGGCATGGCCGATTTATTTCCCTTGAACTGAGACTTGGAGGATAGGGAGGAAATCCCAAAGGAGATGTGGTTAACACTTCATCTCCTCAGGCTCAGTTACCTCATCTGTAAAATGAGAATAGTCTCTGACTTATCTAGCAGAGCTCTTGCGAGGGACAGATGAGATAACAGATGTGAAAGCTCTTGCAAACAGTGGAATAGAGGCATAAGAATTGTTAATCCAGTTTGATTTAACCAACATCTGCAGAATATCTATTAGGAGTAAGGCCCTAAAAGGGAGATACTCCTGGCACATGGTAAAGGCTTGGTGTATAGGTTTGAAAAAGACACAGAGATTAAAAAAAAAACACAAAAAAAAGCCCAAACAAACAGCAAGCTCTCTATTTCCTCCTGAGACTTGCAATGTGGTGAGGGTTCTTACAGAAGCTGCATTTACATGAGGACCCAACCTAGGGTCTTTTGAGTTGAGAGTCACAACTTCTTATCCAGGAAGATCCATGAGGTCTCAGGATTTCCCCCTTTTGTAGAATATTAAAGCTGAACTGGATCAATATTATGGTACCTACCTAGCCTACAGTTGGGGAAACTGAGATCCAGATGAGAACTGGCTTTTCTGATGTCACATCATGATGTTGGAGGCAGAGAAGTGACCAGGATGTTTCTCCTATTGTTTGTGCTATGACTTCGGCTCCCAGACACCACTTATTTTTATTTTTAATTGTGGTGAAATACACATAATATAAAATTTACATTTTTAAAACTATTAGGTACATTTACATTGTTTTGCAACCAATCTCCAGAACTCTTCATTTTGCAAAATGGAAACTATATCCATTATACAACAACCCTCTATCCTTCCCTTCCCTTAGCTCTTGGTGACCACAAATTTCACTACACTAGGCACCTTATATAAGTGGAATCATACAGTATTTGTCCTTTTTTGATTGGCTTATTTCACTTAGCATAATGTCCTTAAGTTTCGTTCATGTTCTAGCATGTAGAATTTCCTTCCTTTTTAAGGCTGAATAATATTCCATTAGCATATATATGTATGCATATATCTATATACCTATATTACATTTTGTTTATCCACTCATCCATCTGTGGATACTTGGGTTGCTCCCATCTTTTGGCTATTGTGAATAGTGCTGTTTTGAACATGGGTATACAAATATCTCTTTGAGGCCTTGCTTTCAATTTTTGGGGGCATATGCCTAGAAGTGGAATTGTTGCAGCATATGGTAATTCTATTTTTACCTGTCAGACACAATTTTAATCTCACAGGAAATGCAGGAGGCTCAGAGAAGTTCAAGGTCTTGGTGTGAATTAGTAACAGATCTGTGCTTCCTGCCTCCAAGACTCAGGCTCTTTGTACCAAGTGGGTTTTGCACTCATAGCTCCAAAGAAATCACATGGTGGCTAAGGGAAATGATGCACTTGAGTTTCAAGGTGGTTGTATTAAGCATGATTTACTTTCCTTTTTCCTTTTAGACAAATGAGTGTAAGGCAGGTGGGTTGGCTTAGATAGAAAAGGTAAACTAGTCATCTGAGTGATCAGTTTTGGCTGCAGATGTGCTTTATGTGGCCTATATAGTAATTATACCTCTAAAAAAGTGCTAGTACTAAAAATTAGTGCTATTTAAAAGTCCAGATTTCCATCTTCTCCTAAACATGATCCAGCAATACTGAGTCCAACTTCCTGCCTGATCACCAGTGTGCCACAGTCCTCACCACTCCTGATTACTCCCACTTATTTCTCTCAATAATATGAGCTATTTTCCCACTCTGCCATTTGAGTTTAAGACTCCTAGCTCAGAATATATGTCTAGTAGAACCTAGGTCAGGAGCTCAACTTCTGTTAGGGCCAATTTCTCAGCATACAATTATTTATTTATTTATTTATTTATTTATTTATTTATTTATTTATTGGGTAGAGTGTACTTTACTGATGGTACGTGACAAGACAGGGCTCCCCAAGCCCCTCCCCTTTTTCAGGGGGTCTGGGGTGGAAACTGTGTGGAGGTCAGATTCTCAGTGTGTTGGGGGATCGAGTTGGGGCCAGGACTCCCCAGCAGCTGAGGGCCTCTCTCTTCCTCTTGTGCTCTTGCTGGGGCTGGTGGTCCAGGGGCTCTTACTCCTTGGAGGCCATGTGGACCATGAGGTCCACTACCCTGTTGCTGTAGCCAAATTCGTTGTCGTACCAGGAAATGAGCTTGACAAAGTGGTTGTTGAGGACAATGCCAGCCCCAGCATGGAAAGTGGAAGAGTGTCACTACTGAAGTCGCAGAAGACAACCTGGTCCTCAGTGTAGCCCAGGATGCCCTTGAGGGGGCCCTCCGATGCCTGCTTCACTGCCTTCTTGATGTCGTCATATTTGGCAGGTTTCTCCAGGTGGCAGGTCAGATCCACAACAGACACATTGGGGGTGGGGACACAGAAGGCCATGCCAGTGAGCTTCCCATTCAGCTCTGGGATGACCTTGCCCACAGCCTTGGTGGCACCAGTAGAAGCAGGGATGATGTTCTGGGCAGTGCCTCGGCCATCACGCTACAGCTTCCCAGAGGGGCCGTCCACAGTCTTCTGGGTGGCAGTGATGGCATGGACTGGGGTCATAAGTCCCTCCACGATGCCCATCACAAACATGGGGGCATTAGCAGAAGGGGCAGAGATGATGATCCTCTTGGCTCCACCCTTCAAGTGAGCCCCAGCCTTCTCCATGGTAGTGAAGACACCAGTGGAATTCATAACGTACTCAGCACCAGTGTCACATTTGATGTTGGCGGGATCTCGCTCCTGGAAGATGGTAATGGACTTTCCATTGATGACAAGCTTCCCATTCTCAGCCTTGACGGTGCCATGGAACTTGCCATGGGTGGAATCATACTGGAACATGTAGACCATGTAGTTGAGGTCAATGAAGGGGTTGTTGATGGCAACAATGTCCACTTTGCCAGAGTGAAAAGCAGCCCTGGTGACGAGGCACCAGATACGGCCAAATCCGTTCACTCCAACCTTCACCATTGTGTCTCAGAGATGCAGCTGGCACTCACAAGAGATGCAGCTGTCTGTCGAATGGGGAGGAGCAGAGAGCCCCAGCATACAATTATTACCCAACAAATATTTGAGTGATCAAATGAATTAACTAATGTCAAGCAGCTTTTTTACCAAGCACTTAGTATGTACAAAGCCTATGGCTGGATGGTTGTTTCCCAGAGATGAATAAGGCATGGCCCCTGATCTCTGAAAACTCACAGTCCTATGGGGTGGGGGAAGGCAGATATATGTATGGTCCAATTCTGGACCAGAGGTGGCAGGCAGAATAGGAGTTTCTGAGGAGATCTTTTTTTTTTTTAACATTTTTTGTTGATTTATAATCATTTTACAATGTTGCGTCAAATTCCAGTGTTCAGCACAATTTTTCAGTCATTCATGGACATATGCACACTCATTGTCAC